CCTACATAGCTTTTTCAAAATCAGACAAGGTTGGTTAGGTGCTTTCCCTTAGTTGAGCTCAAAAGGAAGAGGACTTCTCCAGTTGGATAGANGAAGAAGAATCAGTCAAGGTTCTAACAACACAGTGGCCAATTGATTGGATGAGGTCAACCTTCATTCAAATACCAAAAAAGGACATTTAACAGAGTGTCCAAACAATTGTACAACATCCTTAATTTCACATTCTGCACTAGTAAAATAATGCTTAGAATCATCCAACACAGATTAAAGTTCTGGATGGAAAAAGATGTTCAAACTGGCTTTAGAAAGGTTGAGGAACATGAGACACTACTACTGATGCATGTTGAATAATTAGAAAGCCAGATAATGTAAAAATAAATGTCAGTATGACATGCCTAATAAATCTATACTTTGAGGAACCCTGCCTTGGAGTGTTGATTTCCTAAGGGCTGACATTTCATCAATTACAGAAAAGCCTTTCATTGTGTTGATCATGTCAAGCTGTGGAAAGTCGTCAGAAAAATAATCCCAGAAGATCTCATTGTCTTCATGAGAAACGTATAGTCAAGAAACCACAATATGGACAGAACTTGGTGAAACAGATTGGGGCCAGGGAATTGTGACTAGACTGTATACTGTCCCCTTATTCATTCAATCTATATGTTGAACACACTCACACACACAAACACACACACACACACAAACTAGATTGGAAGAAGATGTGTATAGTTTTAAAATTGGAGAAAGGAATATCAATCACTTGTGCTACCTTGATGACACTACTCTGATAGCTGAATATGCAAAGCATCTGCAAGCCCTAAAGCAGTAAAGAGCACAGTGAAAAATGGGACTAAAATCTGCCTGCCTGCCTGCCTGCCTGCCTGCCTGCCTGCCTGCCTGCCTGCCTACCTACCTACCTACCTACCTACCTACCTATCTATCAATGGTTCTGTGTGTGTATGTTCCAGCATAACTATGGAATATATTGAGCAATTTCAACCAAACTTGGTACGCAGATGACTTACTGTCTGGAAAAAAAATACTATGGGGGTAAGACACTCCTAATGCACACAGGGTGTGTGTTCTGTTAAGATAAAGCCTGTTGTGCCTTAAGATGGCTTCTACTGTACAGTGCAGTGGAGTTTCCATTGTAATGGCTTCACAGTACCCCACAAGGGGGCTACCTCTGGTAAGGGGGAAAATCCAACATTAGAAATTACTTTGGTCCAGACATTTTGCCCCTATAAATAAATGCCCGGGCAACGTCAGGTTATCAGCTAGTTAAGTATAAAGAAGACCAACCTAATGACGACAGGTAGAACAATCAGAATTGGCAATGAAGATATCACAATGGTGGACAACATCTGCCTTTTAGACTCAACCACCAGCAGTAAAGGAAAAAGCTGTCAAGGAATACACTGCAGACTAGCACTTGGTAGAGCAGCAGTGAAGTCCTTGGAAAATAAATTCAAATGCTGTGATGTGATTACACCTACAAAGATCATAATCACACAAGCCATGATATTACTGTGACACTCTATAGAAGTGAAAATTGGACTTTAATAAAGCAGGAGAGGAAGAGCACATTCTGGTGAGAGAGAATTTTCCTGAGGATCGGCTCCAGCACAAATCCAAAAGCTCCGAAGACTAAATCTCTGGTCTTGGTGACCGACCTAGATGGGATTCTGCAGAGTATTGACAGCTTTGGACTTCGATGTTGGAGAAAACTCTTGAGAATATTGTGGCCAGCCAGGTAAACAAACTGGTGGATCATTGAACAAATCAACCCAGATTTGCTGACATTCTCTATAAGCGAGGGGTGGGAATGTCATCCTAAGTGCTACCAGACTCTGAGAGGCAGTATCTGGTAGCGTTTAGGATTTAATTATACAAGAAAGGTTGAAATCCTGAACATGCAGCCAACAGCCTGCAAAATTCCGGTAGACCTTATGGATAATCTAGCCTGCAGTCATGAAAACACCATCCTCTAGAATGCCTTGTCATCAAGAACAAAGGATCTTTTTGTATTCTGGCTTCACCAGTGTAAATTGCCTGGCCAATCAGCATAATGATTCTTGACTGAGAAATGCCAGCATTTCTGCTATAGTACAAAAAAGAAGAAGAAAAAAAAGGAGTTCTCAAGCCAGAATGGGGAAATTGTCTAGAAACAGAGGCCTTGGGACCTTTTACCCTGTTCATCTATGACCCAGCATTTACCCCTTTAAACGCCCACTGACTTTCCATTGCGCCAATTGGGTGGAAATGCGAGAAATTCCATGGAATTTCCTCAGAGCTGCAAGAGCTCTCTTACTGGAAAGAGGCATGGTTATAAAGCTGACTTCTTCAAGCAAAGAACTATGTCATCCCATTGCTTGATTGAGAGCCTGTATTGTATGTTCCTTGTAGGGGTAATGCTCTGATCTCGATTGCCTGGTCTGGTGTGAAGACACAGAATGTTCAGTTACTCAGAGAACCAAGTTGTCAACAACAAAAGGTTCCCAGCCCAATTTCCATTTATGAAAAGACATAATTGTTTGGATATATATATATCCAAAACCAACTGACAAACAATTAAAGACAGGTATAGGTTCAGGGAACAAACTGAAACCCTAGAAACCCTAACTTTCTTTTTGTTTTTTTAGAATAAATATTTGTATTGTATATTTTTCTTTATAATACGTCACATTTCCAGTTTTGCAGCAGTAGTGTACTGGCTGTATCTAGTCCTTTTTGAGTATACATAGTTTTATACACCCTGATTATAACCAATATTCTCTTAATCATATATTTATAATCTCTTTTAAATACATAATGTTGTACATCATAATTATAGACATTATTTTCATATTTGTACCATAACATTCTATATAATTATCTCCCTCCTTTCCCCTATCTACTGCCTTCTCCTTCCTTCTCCTTTGTATCCCCTATCCCCCCCTGACTTGGGTTGTGAGCCGCCCTGAGTCCCTTCTGGGAAAAGGGCGGCATAGAAATATAATAAATTCAATTCAAATTCAATTCCTCCCTTTTCCTCTTCTCCTCTCCCCTCTTCTCTCTCCTCTTCTCCACTTCCCTCTCCTCTCTCCTTCTCCTCTTCCCTCATCCATTTCCTTTTCTCCTCT